CTCCTCCGCTGCCACGGCCGCCGTCTCCTCAACGGCCTGCGCTGCGCCACGCTCCACCTCCGGCGCGCGCTGCCCTGCCTCATCCAGGAGGCGCTCCACATCACTGGGCCGACCTATGATCTGCGGAGGCGGCTGCGCCTGGCCCGGACGGGGCAGCACGTTCAGGCGCACGTACTCAGCTGCGTCCTGGGGCAGCTGAGAGCGGAAGGCCTGCGCGGCTGCGAGCCCCGCGGCCCCTGCGCCTATGAGGTCCGCTGCCGCCTGCGCGCCGTCTGCAGTGCTGCGCAGACGTTCCGTGATGGAGGGCGTCCCCTGCCCGTTGCTGGCCAGGGCGCCGGCCTCGGGGTCTCCCGCCAGGTCGTCCTCAACAAAGCGGGTTCCGCCGTACCCTTGGTACCTCCGCGCAAGCCGCACGTCCTCGTCCGTGGCCTCTGCGGGAGTGCGGAAGCCGTCCTCGGGAATTGCCTGCAGAGGCGTGTGCAGGGGCCGGGGGTTGGGGTCCTCGCTGGACTGTACAAAATCGTCCAGGTAGAAGTGGCTTGTGATGAATGAGGTGGCTTTGCGGTCCGGCTGATCCAGGGGCAGCGGTTCATTCCGCTCAAGGTAGCCCACCACCTGCTCAAAGCGCGGGCGCTGGTTGAAGCCGTGCGCCCGAAGCGTCTTCATTTACTGTTGCGCAACTTCGCCCGCCGCCCGTTCCACGCCCCGGCGCTCGGCCCGCGCGTAGCGCAGCTGGGGTACCTGGCGGTGCACGGCCTCCGTCAGCCGGCTCACGTCGTCCAGGTGCCGCTGCCCTCCTGCGCCTGCCTGCGCTCGCCTAGCCAGTTGTTGAAGGCCCGCGCCTCCTCCAGTTCTCGGTAGCGCTTCAGCAGCAGCGGCTGCAAGTTGTAACTGGGGTACGTCCTGCGGAACCACCGGAGCATCCGCGGCTCGTTGCGGGGCTCTATGGACATCATGCTTTTACACTAGGACGCTTGCGCCTGTGGTCAGCCGGTCATAAGCGGACTGCCTCTCCAGCATGCGCAGGGCGCGCTGCTGCTCTCTTGTGAGCTGAGGCGCCTCCGGTGGTGCCTCAGCCGGCGCCGGTGCCTCTGCCGGCGCCTCTGCTGGTGCCGTCTCAAGTGGAGGCGGCTTTGGCTTGCGCTTTGGAGCAGCCGGCTCAGTAGGCACGTCCTGCTTCGGTTTGTTCTTGCTCCCAGGGGGCCTGCCCCGCCGTTTCGGTTCCGGCGCAGCGTCCTGCGCAGCGTCCGGCGCAGCGTCCTGCGCAGCGTGCGGCACCTCTTGCGCCTCTTGCGCCTCCGGCGCCTCTTGTTCGGTCGGCTCCATTTAATTATACGTGGTCAAGATATAACACGAAAGACAAAGACGACCCGCGAAGCCGGACGACGTTGCCGTCCAGGTCGGTCAAGGCGGAAGCGCATGTGCCTCAGGGTAACCGGGCCCCTGAGGGCCATGAAGTGCCCGTCGTCTGAGCCCGTCTCCACAATGGTACCCACTCCGCTCTTCAGCGTGATCTTGGAGAGGATGTCGTCGCCCAGGTTGCCCAGCACTCTGCTGGCGTTGGCCAGATGGGCGCAGCGCAGGTAGACCTCGTTGTGCGCCATCATTTTGAGAAATTCGAAGACCTGCTGCCCGCCTGAGACGAAGCTCGGGCCGAGCATGTGGTCGATGCTGAAGGGCTTGGTCGGAGAGGCGGCCGGCGCGGAGGGGTAGTCCGCGGCATCTGGGAATTGCTGGCGCAGCTCCAGGTCGTTCAGAATGAGCCGGTTGCCGTCGTAGGCAACGCTCAGGCTGTTCGTGGTCTCGCCGTAGGTGGCGGTGGCAAAGTTGGAGCTGATCCAGGCGGCCAACCGTGCGCCAGTGTACGCGCCCTCGGGCAACAACGCCCAGTTCAGCGTGCCCAGCGCGGCGTCAACCCAGTAGAGGTAGCGGCCCCGGTCCGTGGGCAAAAAGCTGTCGGCCAGGCGGATCTTGTAGACGGCGAGCCGGGCGTCGCTCTGCAAGTGCAGGGACTCTCCCAGGTCTACCTCAAAGTCGCTGTCCGTGCCGGCCACTCTCTTGCGGCTGTCCACGTAGATAGTGGTCATCCTTTTCTTTAGGAACCCGCCCGTCCGGCGGACGACGGGCGGCTGGACGGCTGCGACGGAGGTGCAGCAGGAGATGTTTTCACACTTCGCGTTGATCAGCGTGGAGCTGGCGAACAGCTTCTGGCCCAGGAAGCTGAGCGCCGCTACCATCGGCGTCTTTTTCAAGTGCAAAACGCTCTTCAAAGCGCTTGTAGAACATTTCATTCCTCGGCTTCAGGTAGTAGACACAGAGGAAACTGTAGGGTTCCCGCGTGGCCTGCTCATACAGCCGGTACAGCTGCTCCTTTGGCAGCAGGGCGCTCAGCTCCTCAATAACGGCGTCCAGCTCGTGCTGGTTGCGCAGCCTCCAGCAGCAGAGGAATTGCATGTTGACCCGCACGGCTGCGCTGATGAGCCTCAGCTTCTGGGAGCTCACCCAGGTGCTGATCTGCATGTGCCGGCCTCGGATGAAGAGCGTGTCCAGGGCGCCGTGAGGCTTGTGCAACTGCGGCGTGTCAGCAAAGTCGTCGATGACTACAAGCACCTGGTACAGTTTCTACATTTCCAACTTCTTGGACGCCTCCGTGATCTTGCGCTGCTGCTGGATGATGCGCCGCAGCGCCGCCTCGTCCCACTCGTCCCAATACGTCTGCTCCCGCTCTGTGTTCACCCCCAGGTCCTCCTCGATGTACTTCTTGACGGGTATCCAGCCGTCGTCTATGTTGACACTCGGGCTGAAGATGTAAATTCTCTCAAAGACGCCGCGATACTGCTCCAGGATCAGGCTGATCAGAGCCACGGTTTTGCCCGATTTTGATGGCCCGAGGAAGATGCCGGTGCACGGCACCAGGGGCACCACAGGGTCCGAGGCTTGCTTGCTGGTGTACTCGGTCGTGGGGAAAAGCTCCGTAGCCATTTTGGCTCAAGGAAACAGCTCAAAAGTTCCACCGACCAGTGGGGAGCTTGTTAGCATGGCATGGCATGTGGCAGACGGAACGAAGCATGACAGACCCTTGCATGAGCACTCCCATCACCACCCATGTTGGACTGACAATAGCACCCCCATTCCCTGTGAGCCTGTTCAGACGGCGCATCCCTTGCCTCAGCAACACAAAGTGACACAGCCGGGCCTCCTGACGCCGACGACCAGCAATGAATGTGTACCGATTTTCGATATTCGTGCCACGGCCGGTTATTGGAACCTTGATGATCTGCGGGAAGAGGATTTTCCGGATTTTCAGGTTTATTCAGATGCACCTCTCCACGGCCTGAAGCGGTTCCTGGAGGGCACCAAGCCCAAAGGGGACAAGAGACAGAAATCGCTGACGTGGAGCTATGTTGAGTTTCCATGGACCCATGTGACGTCTTTCGGGATGTCCAGTTATTTGAACGCTTGCAGAGTTGTGATGACTTTCAGGTTTTCTCGGCTCACTGCGAACGCCCATCCCTGACCAAGATTTGGATTCCAAGCCACTGTAAGTTTCAACTTGCCTTGGTCAACAGAGCCTTGCTCAAGTCATGCAGAATCAACATCTCAGGAAACCACCGTCAACATGTTCACCACGGCATTTGCATGGATCAGATTTGGTTATCCACGGAATCCTCAGTATTCTTGCAACAAGCTGACCAGATCACAGAATTGCGATTGTTTGTTCCCTTTTGCGGGGGTATTAGCGGATGGACCTTTGCAAGCAGATGGATGTGCACCCATGGTGTCCCTATTCGGAGCGCATTTGCTATTGACCTGGATCCAGTCGCCTGCAGATTTTATGCTGAGAACCATGGACACCAACACATCCAGGAACCACTCACCCCAGAGCTCCTCACGGATATCCCGGCAGTGGTATGCGCGGATGTGGGACAGAAAGACGTTTGGATGGCAGCATCCCTGATGGGTTGCAATGCCATCACTCTCAGTTGGCCATGCGTCACGTTCAGTCATGCAGGCAATCAGGCCGGATGGAACACCCCAGGCGGCTGGGCACTCAAAGATGCTCTGGGATATGCTGCAAATATGCGGATCAGATGGTTGCTGCTTGAAAATGTGCCACCGGTTTGGGAGAAGGCTGAATTCAAGATCCCCCTTTTGGACCTCCTGGTGCAACACGGATTCGCTCTTAAATTCGCACGTGTGCTACAGTGCGACGCCATTGTACCATCCTCTCGCAGACGGTTCATGGCCCTGGCAGTGTCAGATGGGGAGAAGGGTCAGCTCTCAGATTCTGATATCGCATGTATTCGCATGGCATTTGCTTCCCCTCCGATCAAACTGAAAGATGCTAATGCTTGGTTCGAGGAGACACACCTTGGTTTGTTTGACCAACTCACCCTGGAGCAGAACATCCTTGATCAGTACACAGATGTCAGTAGAGCTCCCTGCCCGGCCAGTTCCCCCGAACAGGTGCTGCAAAACCGCCTGGTAGGACCCAACCAGACCATTCCGGGCACTACCATCATGCGCAGCTATACCAAGCAGCACAATTTCCGCACGGGGAAAATCCTTGGTAACCTTCGCTTGGATGAATGGAACATGCCTCGGTTCTTTGCCCCTTATGAGCTCTTGGTTGCCATGGGAATCACTTCCGGATTTGTACTGCCAAAGGATGTCGAAGCAGCAAGCGCGCTCATTGGCAACAGTGTCACGGAGATCCACGCCTTGGCAGCCATTTGGGCACTGGTGCAGGAGTCGGGGATTCAGCATGACTGCAGATTTCAGAATTTTCAGCATGTTGTTCAGGCCTTCCGCGCGGACATGCTCACAGCAGAACAGCAGCACATTGTTCTCGAGGAACGCTCCCTGAAGTACCACGACTATCTTGCCGGGACCCTTACCTCACAGGATCTGCATCGGGGTCTATGGAGAAGGGGCGCCGAGCCAACAGGTTGAGGTTTGTCCAGGAACATCCGTGAATGAGGTACTTGCGCAAACCCCCTTCGCAGATCACGTTAAGAACACGAGGGTTTCTACGTACACCAGATTCCTTGAACCTGACAGCCAGCTCTTCGCAGACGCATTTCTGAGTGTGCAATGTGTGCCGCATTTGCACATCCTGCTGTCTCGACTTGACCCTAGGAACCAGGCCGCTCAGGTTTCTCCCACCATCCCGTTCTCCATCCACGATGGGTGCAATTCGCCAGGCACGCGCCTGAGAGTTTGGAGTGCAGACGGCAAAGTTGTTCTAGCGGAAGCGCATAGCATGCTTGACGTGTCTGGCTCTGACCAGGGAGCCCAGGATGTGCAGGTAATTTCCGGGGGGCGTGAGAGCCTCCAGATCTTCCTCCGGACTCCGCATGGCACCAAGATAGTTCGAGTCGCACCACACGCCACCTTGCAAGAAGCAGTCTCATGCATCCGCTTTGACGCTCCTGGAGGGGCATACCAGGCAAAGTGCATCCAGCCGAGCGATCAGCTCAGTGCCCACGGCATCCGCGATCAGGATTGCATCACAATCACCTTGAGAGAGCCAGGTGGGGGCAAATGTGACCTTTTGGACGCACGCTCCACAACCTCGCAGGTACCACCCACCGATGCGCATGTTCAGGTAATCAGTCGGGCATGCAACGCTGACGCTGAGCCAGATCCCCAGGGAATCAGCATCCACATTCGCAGCTGGTTTGGTACTCAGACCGTCAAGGTGCACCCTTGGAGCACAGTAAGGGATACCTTATGGCAGATCGGGGTAGATCTTGCGGTTACCAAATGTAAAGTCCGGCATGGAGCCCAGATCCTTGCACCAGCAGACACCTTGTGTGCACATGATATCGGAGATCAGGAAACCATCATTGCGACTGCACCTGGGCCAGTCATACAGATCTTTGTTAGGATCAACGGCAACACTCACGCCATCAGAACCCCGGTGCAAGCCAGCATTGACGCAGTTGTCCGCCACGCAGGAGGAGATGTTGTTGCGGGTGCATGGAAAGCCCGCCGGGGCGCAGTGTGCATCGGGCCAGGTGATACTCTGCTTCAGCATCAGGTGCAGAACCAAGACTGCATCACCATCTCCCGCAGGTTGCATGGTGGTACCAAAGATGGTACATGTGGCACCACCAAACAGATCATCATCGATGCCCTTGTTGCACAAGGCCAACCGGCCCAAGCTGTTGCCACACATGTTGAGGGTTTGGTTGCATTGCTCACCCCGGAGCAACAGAAGAGTGTCCAGAGCGCCCCAGACAGCAGACAGACTTGTGCCATCATTCGCAAGCGCGCCAAGCAACACAATGTCGCCCTCTCCAATCTCTTCCCCACCAGGCAGAACAAGCCTAGGCCTGCAGTGCGACAGCTCGAGCTTACAGACCTCAGCATTGAAGAAGGGACATTCTTGAATGCAGACGGCACTCACGCTGCCATAGGAGGACATTTCACAGTTGCCAGGAAGGGGGTGTACACTTCATTACCCGAATCCATGCAGCACTTGCCTCAGGAATCCAAACCCTTGTGCAAACATGAGCTTGCCCTGATTGTGCTCCGGGGACCCGTGCCTGCCCCAAAGCGACCCTGTGAGAAGGTTGTTTTCACAGCTCTCGACCACACAGGCAACAAGTTGATCCTTGCAGGATGGATTATACAATTCGGTGAAGGAAAAGTCAGCATTGCTAAGCCAGATCGTTTTGATGTTCCGGTCCCAAGTTGCACCATTTTTGCGTTCACAATGCATCGAGATGAATGTGAAAACCCGGACCAGTGGACACAGCTCGTTTCCAAGCCCGGCAAGTACATCCTTCAGCAACTTGAGATCCATCCAGATGCGGTGTATGAACTGTGGGGCAGAAGCTGGCGCACAGCCTCCAAGCAAGTTGCACCAGGCGTTGCTGAGAGTTTTCGCATTTGGGCTCGGATTGCAGATGGTGAAGTTGAACGACTCTTGCACATCTCAGGCCTCACATCACCACCTGTTTACACGGAGACACGTGAAGACCACCAGGCATCCTCCTCAACGAGTACCCCGCCGACCAAAGGACCTGCTTTTCGCATTCTCTGGCTATCAAAGGACACATCTGCAATCGCAGCGGTTGGTCAGGTTGCGGGCCATTTGGGATGCATCCGTGGCCAGACAGGAAGAGGCATTCGGATTCCAGATGCGGCATTCGACAAAGCGTGGCAAGTTTTCCACCCCAACAAGCCACAGCCAGTTCAGGTCGAGGCCAATCACCGCTGGCAGTTGCATGGCGCACCTCCGGGTGCCAAAAGCGAGCACATTAATGAGTTTCTTGGTAAGCTCTCGATCAAAGGCAGGACCCTCCGGAAACAGGGGCAAGTCTGGATTGTTGTCACCGCGGACCCACTCCCGAGGACCCATTTCCGATTCAATGAACATGATGTCATTTTCCAGACTGTCGCGAGCAAGCCATCAGCTTCACGCCCGATCATCGCCGGCGCTCGAGTTTCGCCTGTTGCCCAAGATAAGGAACGCAGCCAAGACGTCCTCCAGCTGCACGACCCGTGGGCCAGAGCCAAGGGAAGCCAAGCAGTGCAGACTACAATCCCTCCGGACCTTGATCGGACTATCCAAAATCAATCCAAGCAGATGCAGAAACAGCAGAGTGACTTTGCAGCCTTGCAGTCAGAGGTTAAGAGCATGCAGGGCGCCATGCAGAAGGTCCAGCAGCAACAGCAAGTCCAAGATCAGATCTCCCAGCAACTGCAAAAGGACTTGCAAGCCACGCGCACGAGCTTCGAACAGACGCTCCGCACATCCCTCGCTGAACAATCCAAGACCCTCATGGACTCGATCGGGCAGATGTTGCGTGCCACGCCAAAGTCTCGATCCCAGCCCTCATCCAAGCGTCAGCTTGATGAGGACGAGGACATGCAGGATTGAATCCAGTAGTGCGGCCGCAACAGCCCAGCAAAATTTACGATTGCTTCAGTGTACCTGGTACTGTCCCACTCAGCCTTCGATCGAATAACCGGGCACATCCTAGAAGAGTGTGGGCAAAGCATTCCGACTCCTCCAATGTATGGTACATTCGTATTCTGGCTTGCGATCTTACTCGGCGCACACGGGGCGCCGGGGTGATATTGCAAGTTGCGCTGTCTGGCTTGCTTCTGGAACAGGCAATGCATCGTGGTGTCGGAGGAAGTCTCAGCACAACAAATGATGCCGGGCTTACTCGAATAGAGTTTAAGGACTTCGTCCTGGTGCTTACGCAATTTAGTGATGTTGACGATAGTGAGGTGGCAGAGATCAGACTGATCCTCCGGGGTCGACATTCCGACAGGCCCCGGATTGTCAGCCTCCCCCAGACGGGGTTCCGAGACCCACACCTGCCACAAACACAGTTTGGCAATTCGGTAAATGGATCTGATTGGCATCATGATGGGTTGCAGCACAGGTATGGTGTCTGGTTGCCTGGACTGCCTGGGCCAATGCGTGCCCGTCGGGTGTCTGCTTCCCCGAACGCTGGGATGAGTGATTGCAAATGGGATCACGAGCCCCTTGGTTCCGGCAAACTCGGCGGCAAGAGCCGCATGCGAACAGGGCCGAAGTCGGCTTGGGGCTATTGCATTGGAAGGGGAAAGTGAGGCAGCAAGCTGCGCGACGCCAAAAATGTAATCGGAGAGGAGTATAATGGATGTTACCCAAAGTCTAGTGACACAAATGGGAAGTCGAGAAAGGGTCCGAGTGTCGGATTGGTAATTGAAGTTTGGAGTGGTCTCCCCGGAATGGGAGACCTGATTCGAAATAAAATGGCCGGCAACCACACACTTTGGCACTTGACGTGGCAAAATGATGGCACTGATGGGAGCGGTTGCCTGTGATGGCTGGTCGACGTGCCGGGTGGCAGGATTTTGCCGCTGGCCTCCAACGGGTGTTGGGGTCTGCTGCATCACAAGTGTGAGATTATGGGTTATCTGAGTCGTACCTGAAAGGGACAAAATTGGCCCGAAGGGAATCGTCCATGACCGGGGTTGGAATATGTGTGGTGTGCATGATGAACCGAGCTGTGGGGGCGTATCTCCGTTGGGCAGAGAGTCCACAGCCCTGGATATGTGATCTGTGCGTGTGCAGTAACATATTGCATCAGCACAGCAAGTCGGATTGTGCTCGTGGCGCCCAACAGCGCCATGATCATGACCGCTGTGCATGACCTGGCACGTATGCAATCCAACAGGGCGCCAGGTAACAATGCGAATGGATGTGGTCTTCTCGAAGGGTTCATTCTGAGGTTTCTGAATCTGTTGGTATTGCAACCCAATGTTGCTCCCCAGAGCACATGAGTCAACTTCCCCTTGAAGGTGGTTGGTGGTCAAACAATCTTCAAGGGGGGGTACCCCACACAATGTAGACGTACCAGGCTGGCACGTGATCTCTCCTCTTTGCGGACAGCAGAGTAAAAGCACGACCTGCATGGTCAGAATGCACTGTGAAATTTTCCCCTTTGTAGCGACATCCTTGGCAAAAGAATTTATCGCGTAAGTTATGCGATTTTTATGGTTTTGGAGTTTTTTCTTCCCGAGGGCATCTGCAGCATCCCCTGCATGGTCTATTGGGAGACCATGCCCCTTACTGCGTGATACCGTCACATCAGGTACTCGGTATCACCCTGTACCTACACACTCAGGATACATCCTGGGAGCTGTACCGCAAAGACGCCTCAGATGCCCTGCAGCAGCGTGCCATTGAAAGTGTGCTTGAGTGGGACGGTCACTCATTCATTGCAGGAGACCTCAACCAATTGCCGGACCAATCGCTTTTGTGGACTGCACTCTCGGACAGAGGATGGGTTGAAGCCCATCACTTTGCATCACACCACTTAGGCACGCCAACGGATTTCACCTACAAGGAGGACACCCGCAACGACACGTTTTTCTTATCACCTAGTCTGGTCGGGTGTATTAAGACGATAAAGGTGACCCGTGACTTCTCATTCCCACTACACCACCCTCTTACGGTCACGTTGGATTTAGCTAACGCACCCCAGACTACGAAGACCTGGAAACTCTGCCGCCCCTTATCTCCCTCCCAACTGGGAGCCATTGATCCAGATGTCCATGATGAGTTTTTTGTCGAGGAGCTTAATCGCTTGGACCTCGACAGTCAAATCCCCGGCGGCATAGATATGCAGCAATGGTCAGTTGCAGCTGAAAATGCCATGCGTCGATGTCTGGTAAAAGTTGGTGCTGAACCCATTGCACAACGACAGCGTGGGCGGGGCAGACCTCCGGTTTATAAATGGACACCTTTTCGGGCAGGACCAAAAATTGCACGCCCAGGTGACTTCCAGCCAACCGAAAAGTGCACATCCGTACGGGCAAAACAAAGTTCGACAAGTCCGTCGACTTGATTCGATTACCAGAATGCTCACCAAACATGGTGACTCTCAGCAACCCACAATCCACCAGGACTGGACTGCGGTATGCCGCGCCAAAGGTTTTTTGCCAGACTTCCCCACATGGTGTGGAGAAGCTCTCCCCTCATATCCAACCCTGGGGATAGTCCAGCAATTGGCTGAACAGGTCCGCACATCCATTCGAACTCTTGAGGCAGAGAACTGTAAAGCATCTCGACAGAGATGGTCGGATGCGCTAAATAAATCCTGGAAAACACAAGGTAATAAATTGGCACATAAGGTGACCACTAAAGGATCCAACCCTTTTCTCACCATGGCTTCACAAATACACCAGGTAGAGTGCCACAGACTCCGTGCACGGGGTAAACACCGTGCGCGTTTCGTGTTGCCGGCCCATCAGAGACGCCAGTATGATGAACTCACCCTGGCCAGTGGAGAGCCCATAGAGTGGGATTGCAAGGAATCCGGGAACCTTTTTTTCTCAGTCCAAAGAACACACTCTCATCATCATCCGAAAGGAGTGGTATTACCGCCCGGAGGATGTCCAGGATCAATTCTTTCAATACTGGGCTCAATTCTGGGGGCAAGGGGACCCCGATGGGGGCGCTCTCTCCCGATGCCGAATCCCAGATGAATGGAAGATTGATGGATGCCACCTTCTCACTCCAGATACTTTTGCAGACGCGCTCAAAGGCACGCGCAACAACAGTGCTGCCGGAGCAGATTCTTGGAGAATCCCAGAAATACAGGCCCTCGGCCCAGTCGCCCTAGGATGTTGGACCCAATACTTTAATCACATCCTGATTGGAGCGCAGCCTTGGCCTGAAGCCATGTGTTGGGCCAGGGTAGTCCTCCCAGGCAAAACCGCTGACCCAGTCAAATCAAAGATGGTCGCCCCATCACAATACTCCCAGCCCTATATCGCATCAGTATGAAGGCGGTTACCCATAGCATCCTGTTACACCTCTCTTCCAAGTTACCACCGCAGGTAGCGGGAGGGTTACCGCATAGGGACTCAGAATCCTTATGGTACAGTACTCAATTTACAGTTGAAAAATGTAACCTCAACAACTCTCCGCTCCACGGAGCTGTCACTGACATCCAAAAATTTTTCAACGGACTTCCCCGCGCACAACTTGCCACACTCATGTTGGACTTCGGTTTTCCGGAACCTTTGGTTAGGCAATGGTTCATTCTCCTTAGCCAGCTCAAACGCTCAGTCATTGTGCAAGGGGATTACAGCTTCCCTCAACGCTCTGTGTGCGGTGTGCCGGAAGGCGATCCCCTATCGGTCGCGGCCGCGGTCGTTGTGGGCGCGCAACTTCTACATGTGATCCAGCAACGGACCCAGGCCCTACTCCTGGTGTACATAGACAATGTCGAACTGATATCGAGCGATGAGGCACAAATCTGCCAGGCCACTGACCTCACTCTCGATTTTTTCGCACAATGGGGGTTGAAGATCGACATTGCTAAATCATGGGCGTGGAGCAACGTTCCCACCCGTAAAATTGGTGAGAAAAATCGTTTTCAATACTCGAGGGCCAAAACCAACTTGGGATGTTTCTCCAAATACCGTAAATCCACCATCCACGGGGAATTCGGAGATCGCCTCGCGACAGCCACGAAACGGGCGGCTGCCATCGCAGCTCTACCCTACGACGTGGACGGCAGAATGCAAGCCATAGAGGCTGGGGCCTTCGCAGCGGGTTTCTACGCAAGTGAAGTGCATTACATAGGTAAGCGTAAACTGTCTATGATGCGCACCGCGGTCACCAAAGCCATCATTAAGCCTGTGCAAGGGGTCAACCACAAGGTTGCAATTCAAACCTACGAGGATGGACATTTTGAACCCACGCTTGTTGCTGTTCGTAGGGCGTGTGCAACGGCTAGGAGGGCTTTCGCCCGCTACCCCGACCAGTTCTCCGATTTCTGGAGCATCGTACACGGCAGTGATGGCAACCCTAAGAAAGCATTCGGCCCGGCTAGTGTCCTAGCTGCGTACTTTTCGCTCTTAGGTGTACAGACAAGTGTGGACCAACAGGTCTCCATACCGGATGGAACCACACTTCACTTTTATGACTCATGCCCAGTTGCGTTGTTTGACATGTTCAAAAGACAATGGAGAAATCATGTCCACGCCGAGCTGAGGGGACGCAAAGAACTTCAGAACCTTCCCCCGGTATGCTTCGACACCACTGCTAAGGCTATCTCGCGTTTGGATTCCAAAGACGCTAAACTAATACGAACCTACCTATGTGGTGGAGTTCCAACCCAGATCCGTGCCAAACACTGGGCAGAGACTGACGACACATGCCCCCTTTGTGGACGCAGAGACACCATCGCGCATCGTGTTATCATTTGCTCGGGCACTGCACGCATCCGTGAATTGCGCCCTGAGCTAGGTGCCCTCCCGACCCAGACAGGGGAATCAGCTTGGATACCGACCACCATCGAAGGCATGCGATGGATTACCTCGGTAGCCCAACGCCCCGGCCAAGGGGGCCTTAGCAAAGCTCAGCCAGAACGTGCAGTAGCTACAGTCTTCACAGATGGCAGTTGCTACGGGCCGACCCACGTATCTTCCCGTGCGGGATATGCAGTCGCGATTGATCCCATTTTCGACCTGGAAGTGCGAACTGCGCCAGTTCACATGCATGACGAAATTCGCGCCAGCTTCCTCCCAGGTCCTTCTGGTCCTGTCCCAGGTAGGCAGACGGTTTCGAGGGGTGAGCTCTGCGCAATTGCCCACGCATTAACCATTGCTAAACATGTGAGAATTGTTGCCGACAGTCAGTATGCTCTTAACCTTGTTGACGCACTCATCCGCGGAGAACCTCTCGTAGGGTGGCATAATAAGCCTAATTTTGACCTTGTTTGCGTGATCCACCAGGCCATTCATTTATGGCCCCGGTCCGACAGGACCCTCATTCTAGTAAAGGTCAAAAGCCACCTAACTAAGATTGAGATTGACCAATCCGGGTACTTTGCACTTGGAAACGACAGGGCAGATTATTTTGCCAAACAAGCTGCGTCGGGCATTGCCGCGCAGGATCTCCGAAATTGGCGTGCGTACCATGGCCATTTGCAAAAACATTTCGAGAAGTGGCCCAGACTTCTGAGCGCCATTGCAGACACCTTGAGGGAATATTGCAGTGCTTTGTCCACCAGAGGACAAGGCACACTCGTGCCAGCAGATAGCATGCCGACCCCGGTTGACAATGCAGCGGAGTGTCATGCGGTAAACCCCTATTTTGCATGGCCGCCAGATGACACGTGGAAGAACAGGACATCTTGGGGTGTCACTTTCACCAAGCAAGTGCTGTGCTGGATCGGGGAACTAAAATGGCCCCTCGTCCCGGACGAACGACCCATTACGTGGGCAGAACTCCTGATCTCATTCCGCATGCACTCAGGGATGCGACTGCCCGTTGCACATCCCAGGAACAGACACATTTACTTGACGCCGGGCATCCGCCGGATTCATGCCCTGGGCCTGCGCACGCTTGGTACAGACATTTGGAGTTTCAAAAACGCTTTGAACACCATCTCGTCTATCGTCAATCAGGAATTGCTGCCCTGGGACCGTGCAACGAAGAAATGCAACACTGCGCTGGTGCTCGGAGCAAAGTTGCAGGCGTCAGGCTTCGGGCTTCGACCCATTTTCCCATGTCAAACCGAGGCGATAATTTTCTTGCAGCAGTACTTTGCAGCTCAACGTGGTAGACCTGGGACGAGTGTGTCATATGACCTCCCCCTCAAAACCCTGGACGTGGACCCCCTCGACCACGGTGGGGAGCAATTTTTGATGCAATCCCGGGCACGATATCGAAAATATTTGCAAAGTGCATGAAGCTCCAGACAGGCTGACAACACCAGTCAGTGTTTGCACTTCGCACCGGCGAACTTACTTGTGTGGTCTCTTGATGCACATTACTCGCATGTGCGCTTTGGGGTAGTTTCGTCTCACCGTCTCACACCTGTCTCACCCGCCACAGATTTCTTGATGACCTGGGATTGCCGCCCGACCTGGGCCTGCTTCCCTCTTGCAGTTACACCTTGACACCTGGGCTTTCGCCCAAGCAAGTGACCCCGCCCTCTCCGGACGGGGCATGCATTCCTGGCTCCCACTTGTGATTTCTCTTGACCGGCCTTCGGGCCATGTGTGCCCCCCTTTTCTTCCCCTCCCCCCCCTTTTTTGTACAGTCAGGCAGATGCAATAGTCACTGCCTATGCCAAGACTAAAACTGGACACGTCCGCCAAAGGCAGTTGCGTTCGCTTTCGGGCTGGCGCAGCGGCCTGAATCGTGTATGTATCGTGGGGGAAAGCTTGATCTTCCCCATTCGTCCTTTTGCGTTACTTCCGAAATTCGAAGCCGGGAAGCCGGGCGAGACTGGGAACAATCCTGCGCCCAGCACAGGATTGATGGAGGGCAATCCTGCGCCCAGCACAGGATTGACGGAGGGCAATCCTGCGCCCAGCACAGGATTGATGGAGGGCAATCCTGCGCCCAGCACAGGATTGACGGCAAGGCGAGGGGCAGGTCAGGCACACAGTGTCACTGAAGAGCAAAGCGGCCATAGCGCAATGGCTAAGGCGTAGACTTCGAAGCCAAGTGGCCCGGGTTCGATTCCAGCCTGGGCCCATGTAAATAATAACAAGGCAGCCAGCAGTTGTCCAAGTTCCTTGTCCAAGTTCCCCGGGCGAACTTGGACAAGTGGCTTTGCAAGAGGAAAACACGTGATAAAATTTGTCCAAGTTCCTTGTCCAAGTTCTTGTCCAAGTTCAGGTTCCTCCGGAGGAGAATTCTCGTACCCTAATATTTTCTTCTTCTGGTTGTCTTGTTATTAAAAAGAGTGGTATAAGTTTCCGAGCAGGAGCGCCCCGATTCCAGGCAGGCCCCGATTCCAGGCAGGCCCCGATTCCAGGCAGGCCCCGATTCCAACTTCGTGGCCCAGGGCGGAAACCCGAACTTGGACAAGAACTTGGACAAGGAACTTGGACAAATTTTATCACGTGTTTTCCTCTTACAGAGCCACTTGTCCAAGTTCGCCCGGGGAACTTGGACAAGGAACTTGGACAACTGCGGGCTGCCGTGTTACAAGCTCTCTCAGTATTACGCCCCGATTCCAGGCAGGCCCCGATTCCGTGTGCCCCGGCGGAAACCCGAACTTGGACAAGAACTTGGACAAGGAACTTGGACAAATTTTTTCACGTGTTTTCCTCTTACAGAGCCACTTGTCCAAGTTCGCCCGGGGAACTTGGACAAGGAACTTGGACAACTGCGGGCTGCCGTGTTACAAGCTCTCTTAGTATTACGCCCCGATTCCAGGCAGGCCCCGATTCCGTGTGCCTCGCCCCGGCGGAAACCCGAACTTGGACAAGAACTTGGACAAGGAACTTGGACAAGTTTTATCACGTGTTTTCCTCTTACAGAGCCACTTGTCCATGGACAACTGCGGGCTGCCGTGTTACAAGCTCTCTCAGTATTACGCCCCGATTCCAGGCAGGCCCCGATTCCGTGCGCCTCGCCTCTCTCTTTAGAGGGCGTTTCCCAAATGGATTCTATTCTACCTGAGAGGCTCCCAGCACTCGTCCGTCCAGCATTTGACCTTGTCCTGCGAAGGATTCGAAGTCTAAAACGCTGCGTGCAGGCGTGTGGCTGCAAAATA